CCCGGCCTCTAGACAGACGTTACTAACTCGGAACCTCTGCTCCTGGTAACCCCGGCCTCTAGACAGACGTTACTAACTCGGATCCTCTGCTCCTGGTAACCCCGGCCTCTCGACAGACGTTACTTACTCGAGCTCCCTTCTCCTGGTAACCCCAGCCTCTACACAGACGTTACTTACTCGGACCCTCTTCTCCTGGTAACCCTGGCCTCTCGACAGACGTTACTTACTCGAGCTCCCTTCTCCTGGTAACCCCAGCTTCTAGACAGACGTTACTTACTCGGACCCTCTTCTTCTAGTAACCCCGGCCTCTCGACAGACGTTACATAGTCGAGCCCCCTTTTCTTGGTAACCCCGGCCTCTAGAAAGACGTTACTTACTCGAGCCCCCTTCTCATGGTAACCCCGGCCTCTCGACAGACGTTACTTCCTCGAACCCCCTTTTCCTGGTAACCCTGGCCTCTCGACAGAGGACCCCCTTCTCCTGGTAACCCTGGCTTCTCGACAGACGCTCCTTACTCGGACCCCCTTCTCCTATTAACCCCGGCGTCTCGACAGACGTTACTTCCTCGAACCCCCTTTTCCTGGTAACCCCGGCCTCTTGAAAGACGTTACTTACTCGACCCCCCTTTTCCTGGTAACCCCGGCCTCTCGAAAGACGTTACTTACTCGAGCTCCCTTTTCCTGGTAACCCCGGCCTCTTGAAAGTCGTTACTTACTCGAGCCCCCTTTTCCTGGTAACCCCGGCCTCTCGACAGACGCTACTTACTCGGACCCCCTTCTCCTATTAACCCCGGCCTCTCGACAGACGTTACTTACTCGAACTCCCTTTTCCTGGTAACCCTGGCCTCTCGACAGACGCTACTTACTCGAACTCCCTTCTCCTGGTAACCCCGGCCTCTCGCCAGACGCTACTTACTCGAGCCCCCTTCTCATGGTAACCCCGGCCTCCCGACAGACGCTACTTACTCGAGCCCCCTTCTCTGGGAACCACGGCCTCGCGCCAGACGTTATTTACTCGAGCCGCCATCTTTTGGTAACCCCGGCCTCTCGACAGACGCTACTTACTCGAGCCCCCTTCTCTGGTAACCACGGCCTCGCGCCAGACGTTATTTACTCGAGCCGCCATCTTTTGGTAACTCCGGCCTCTCGACAGACGCTACTTACTCGAGCCTCTTCTCATGGTAACCCCGGTCCCTCGACAGACGCTACTTACTCGAGCCCCCTTCTCCTGGTAACCCCGGCCTTTCGACAGCTGACCTTCATGCTTCTCCACATACGACTTGGCAAAACTGTTAATATAAAATAAATGTCACAGAAAATAACAACATGGAAGAGATAGGTCACACGCTGTGAAAAGGTTTAACCATCTCGAGGATTTCTTCTGAAGCAGAAAAACCCATATTGAGTGATCCTAAGGACAACGGGTATATTTGAACAGTGGATAATTCGTATGTAAGTGGTTAACCATTATAATTGGTTATACCATTGTAAGTGGTTATACCATTGTAAGTTGTTATACCATTGAAAGTGGTTATACCATTGTAAGTGGCTATACCATTGAAAGTGGTTATACCATTATAAGTGGTTATACCATTATAAGTGGTTATACGATTGTAAGTGGTTATACCATTGTAAGTGGTTTTACCATTGTAAGTGGTTATACCATTGAAAGTGGTTATACCATTGAAAGTGGTTATACCATTGTAAGTGGTTATACCATTGAAAGTGGTTATACCATTATAAGTGGTTTTACCATTGTAAGTGGTTATACCATTATAAGTGGTTATACCATTGTAAGTAGTTATACCATTATAAGTGGTAATACCATTGTTAGTGGTTATACCATTGTAAGTGGTTATACCATTGTAAGTGGTTTTACCATTGTAAGTGATTATACCATTATAAGTGGTAATACCATTATAAGTGGTTATACGATTGTAAGTGGTTATACCATTATAAGTGGTTATACCATTATAAGTGGTTATACGATTGTAAGTGGTTATACCATTGTAAGTGGTTATACCATTATAAGTAGTTATACCATTGTAAGTGGTTATACCATTGTAAGTGGTTATACCATTATAAGTTGTTATACCATTGTAAGTGATTATACCATTATAAGTGGTAATACCATTGTAAGTGATTATACCATTGTAAGTGGTTATATCATTGTAAGTGGTTATACAATTGTAAGTGGTTATACCATTGTAAGTGGTTATATCATTGTAAGTTGTTATACCATTGTAAGTGGTTATACCAATATAAGTGGTTATACCATTATAAGTGGTTATACCATTGTAAGTGGTTATACCATTGTAAGTGGTTATACCATTGTAAGTCATCAGACACCAATAGTCAACAGCAGTCATACATCCCTGCTATACACAGCAAAACAAAACATGGAGAAATGCACATGGGTTCCTAACTGGTAAGCATAACTTGTACCAAAGTGGTATGATCCATGAGGTCTCCAATCAACTCTAGGAAATGACGTAGGTCACAAGCGATCTAAGACGCAGCGAACAAGTATTTAACGTCACACTAATTCCCTTTGTTAGAAAGCTTGTCCTGATGACGACCAGCAGTTAATTCAATAAATAAATTGTTGGCTTTACCTGATCAAGGTAAGTTTTTTTCTCTATTCTTTACCTGATCAATGTGAGTTTTTTCTCCATTCTTTACCTGATCAATGCGAGCCTTTTCTCCATTCTTTACCTGATCAATGTGAGTCTTTTTTCCATTCTTTATCTGATCAATGCTTGTTTTTCCATTCTTTACCTGATCAATGTGAGTTTTTTCTCCATTCTTTACCTGATCAATGCGAGTTTTTTCTCCATTCTTTACCTGATCAATGCGAGCCTTTTCTCCATTCTTTGCCTGATCAATGTGAGTCTTTTTTCCATTCTTTATCTGATCAATGCTTGTTTTTTCCATTCTTTACCTGATCAATGTGAGTTTTTTCTCCATTCTTTACCTGATCAATGCGAGTTTTTTCTCCATTCTTTACCTGATCAATGCGAGCCTTTTCTCCATTATTTGCCTGATCAATGTGAGTTTTTTCTCCATTCTTTACCTGATCAATGTGAGTTTTTTCTCCATTCTTTACCTGATCAATACGAGCCTTTTCTCCATTCTTTACCTGATCAATGTGAGCCTTTTTCCATTCTTTACCTGATCAATGCTAGTTTTTTCTCCATTCTTTACCTGATCAATGTGAGTTTTTCTCCATTCTTTACCTGATCAATGCGAGCCTTTTCTCTATTCTTTACCTGATCAAGGTAAGTTTTTTTCTCTATTCTTTACGTGATCAATGTGAGAGTTTTTTCCATTCTTTACCTGATCAATGTGAGTTTTTTTTCCATTCTTTACCTGATCAATGTGAGTTTTTTCTCCATTCTTTACCTGATCAATGCGAGTTTTTTCTCCATTCTTTACCTGATCAATGCGAGCCTTTTCTCCATTCTTTGCCTGATCAATGTGAGTTTTTTCTCCATTCTTTACCTGATCAATGTGAGTTTTTTCTCCATTCTTTACCTGATCAATACGAGCCTTTTCTCCATTCTTTACCTGATCAATGTGAGCCTTTTTCCATTCTTTACCTGATCAATGCTAGTTTTTTCTCCATTCTTTACCTGATCAATGTGAGTTTTTCTCCATTCTTTACCTGATCAATGCGAGCCTTTTCTCTATTCTTTACCTGATCAAGGTAAGTTTTTTTCTCTATTCTTTACGTGATCAATGTGAGCCTTTTTTCCATTCTTTACCTGATCAATGTGAGTTTTTTCTCCATTCTTTACCTGGTCAATGCGAGTTTTTTCTCCTTTCTTTACCTGAATAATGCGAGCCTTTTCTCCATTCTTTGCCTGATCAATGTGAGCCTTTTTTCCATTCTTTACATGATCAATGCGAAACCTTTCTCCATTCTTTACCTGATCAATGTGAGTTTTTTCTCCATTCTTTACCTGATCTATGTGAGCCTTTTTTTCCATTCTTTACCTGATCAATGTGAGTTTTTTCTCCATTCTTTACCTGATCAATGTGAGCCTTTTTTTCCATTCTTTACCTGATCAATGTGAGTTTTTTCTCCATTCTTTACCTGATCAATGCGAGTTTTTTCTCCTTTCTTTACCTGATTAATGCGAGCCTTTTCTCCATTCTTTGCCTGATCAATGTGAGTTTTTTCTCCTTTCTTTACCTGATTAATGCGAGCCTTTTCTCCATTCTTTACCTGATCAATGTGAGTTTTTTCTCCATTCTTTACCTGATCAATGGGAGCCTTTTCTCCATTCTTTACCTGATCAATGTGAGCCTTTTTCTCCATTCTTTACCTGATCAATGTGAGTTTTTTCTCCATTCTTTACCTGATCAATGGGAGCCCTTTCTCCATTCTTTACCTGATCAATGTGAGTTTTTTCTCCATTCTTTACCTGATCAATGCGAGCCTTTTCTCCATTCTTTACCTGATCAAGGTATGTTTTTTTCTCTATTCTTTACGTGATCAATGTGAGTTTTTTCTACATTCTTGACCTGATCAATGTGAGTTTTTTCTCCATTCTTTACCTGATCAATGCGAGTTTTCCATTCTTTACCTGATCAATGTGAGTTTTTTCCATTCTTTACCTGATCAATGTGAGTTTTTTCTCCATTCTTTATCTGATCATTGTGAGTTTTTTCTCCATTCTTTACCTTATCAATGTGAGTTTTTTCTCCATTCTTTACCTGATCAATGCGAGTTTTTTCCATTCTTTACCTGATCAATGTGAGTTTTTTCTCCATCCTCCAAGGCTGATACCGGACACTCTCGATGATCCCCTTCTGAAGCTTAATGTTCTCATAGATATCCTCATCGTCATCTGACGAATCATTAAATTCACCGTATATCTTTTGAATGTCCTCTTGATCACTGTAAATATAAATGTAAAACTCTTTTGTTCGGGTATAAAACACCTATAAAGAAACAGTTGTTCTGGTAAAAAGGTAGCCACATATTAATATCGTTTCGACAAGACGACATTTCAGTGTGATGCCCGACAATGTTCGCCTGTACTGTTTGGAATGCCCGACAATGTTCGCCTGTACTGTTTGGGATGCCCGACAATGTTCGCCTGTACTGTTTGCGATGCCCGACAATGTCCGCCTGTACTGTTTGGGATGCCCGACCTTGTTCGCCTGTACTGTTTGGAATGCCCGACAATGTTCGCCTGTACTGTTTGGGATGCCCGAGCTTGTTCGCCTGTACTGTTTGGGATGCCCGACAATGTTCGCCTGTACTGTTTGCGATGCCCGACAATGTTCGCCTGTACTGTTTGGGATGCCCGACAATGTTCGCCTGTACTGTTTGGGATGCCCGACAATGTTCGCCTGTATTTTGGGAATCTCCCTAAGATTATTTTACATCTCTACAGGGTTCGGGGTGACTGCGGTACCCCACAGCATGTTATCGTGATTTATGTATGACCCATTTCAGAGTTGGAGTTTTTGTTTGTTTGTATTCTGTAAAGAGGAAATTAAAGAAACCAAAATAGATTCGCCGCCCCCATCGTTACACCTGGGATTCCTATCTTTCCTAACCCTTTATTTTCCGTTGTGTCTCTCTAGACTCCGCGTCTTCATATAACCTTAGCGGTCACGACGAAGTTTAACCCAATACAATCCAAACTGGTTTTTTCTTTTAAATGAAAGGTCGCTGGTTTTTGACGCCTATGAGAGTCAAATAATAATACTGATATACAACATTTATATATCGCCCTATATTATAATTTGTTAAATTACTCTTAAGCGCTTCACAACTATGGATAATAGCATTAGTTATAACAGTTAAACAAACAAAGACTTACAATCATCATTTTAGATTAAACAAGAAGATAATCATTTCAATGTGCACATCAATTAATAAATAAAGGGTGGTATGTACATGACGTCTGTGCAAAGGGCCAAAAATACAGACGTGAAGAGGTACGTTTTCATGTCCTTCTTGAATTTGGCCAGGGTATCTAACTTTATAATAGCAGATGGTAAAGTATATTCTCATGAAACAATAAAATGTATACAACACATCATTTCATGAGACATGCATATAAACGTAATGGTGTTTTCAGTTTTCGTTCCTGAGAAGAAATTGAGAAATATTCAAATATCCTATTCTTTCTCGGACAGCCCATCCTTTTTCTTCAGACATTTATAATATTCAAATACTCTATTCATGCAGAAACATTCAAACATCCCATCTTTCCTCTACAGACTTTGATATATAATAAAAGTGATCCTATTCTTCCCACGTGAACATGTATTAAGCAGTACATTGTCCTAACTCACCATTTCTCACAGAATTCGGCGACTACAGCAGCAGTAGACTTGCGTTGTTTCCTACCTCGCGGTTTGCTAGGTCCACTTCGGTCTGTTTGACAGGACACAGTGACATTCCGTGGAAATGACATTCTGTCACCAATCACGGTTACCTAACTCTGCTTGTGTTCAGCTTTCGAACAGGTTTTAAGTTTATACTTTTAAATATCGTAGTTCGCGTTGTAGGTCTAAAATATAGCATACAAATATAACGTCCACGTGCATGTTCGCGTTATTTTCAATGTGATTCCAAAGCATATGTTGATTCTTCTGCAAGTCTTTCAAAGAGAATCGCAAAAGATTATTTCTTCTGTGTGTGCAGTATTTAATTGATAACGCTTGTTTGCCCAGCATCAGTGTCAGTGGACTGGGTATTACTCTTTTTCATCATGTTAATATTTCAAGCGTGATTAACGGAGTCTAACACTACGCAGTCTCGGTAGCGCACCGTGCTGACGGCTAATGAAAGGATTAGTAATGTACTGAACATTTCTGTCCTTTAGAACCTCTCGGGGTTTATGTAACCAATAATCACCGCATTCACACCAGTGTATTTATTGGTGTTTGACGAGGCGTGGTGACCGATGCTGGGTGTATCTTTAGCAATGGGGGGGGGGGGGCAATGGGGAATGGGGAGGCATACAGCGTGATGGGTACCAACTACTACACAGTGCAGGTTTCCCCTCCCAGATAGTTCCGTTTTTGTGTGAATATTTCTACATACAAATTGATCTGTTAACTGGATGATGTTTCTTAATCTTTCTTGGATGGGGAATGCGTAATGTAAACGGCTTCAGCAATATAATTTACATTGGTGTGCGTTTCATATCTTTAAATTAGAAGATAAATATGACGGTTTCTCAACAACATTGTCACAAGTCACCAGATAGTCGCCTTTACCTGTTGTGGGCTTACCTTACATAAATACCTGTGTATTTGCAATCTATCAGAGTTGGCCTGGTGAGTGTAACAATTTCAATCTATCAGAGTTGGTGAGTGTAACAATTTCAATCTATCAGAGTTGGTGGGTGTAACAATTTCAATCTATCAGAGTTGGTGAGTGTAACAATTCCAATCTATCAGAATTGGTGAGTGTAACAATGTCACTATATACATAAAGTACAGACCACTATTTCGTAAATGTGTAAGAAAAACATAACTTCGTCAGTTATCAATAGAAATCCGAAGGATTAACCACAATGTGTATCATGGAATGGTCTCCCCTGTCCATAGCCTCTTACTACGGATTATTCAGGGCAGCGAGTTGACCTAATTGAATAACTTGTAATAAAACCAAATCACCAAACTGCTAGTGTAATCTGTGTGTGTGTCCTAGAACCCCATGGTGCAGACGCTGGACGATAACTCCACAACTGGAGTCTCGCGTGCAGTCAATATGGAGGTTTCGTGTCCCATTTAACACGTACACAAACCCATACAATACAAAAATATAATTAAGTGTAAAATCCCTTTCGTGAAACCGTCGTAATACGCTTGTTCGATACTTGCTCTTGTCCTTATAAATCACTCACAGCTAGGGGCTAGGAGATTTGCTCTTTGGAGCGGGATTTTCTTTCCCTGCTTATAAAATATTACCATAAAATCTTTACTTCTCTACAGCAAATATTCTTACAGTCCTGTAAAGCAGAATCTGTTCGCATGGCCTGACTTTATGAATTGGACCATCACAATCGGCTACAATTTAGGAAGTCCAGTTTATAGCATAGGATGTCGTGGTCAGTTCCCAGGACAAGATGGTATCTACCGAGACCATTAGAAATACATTAAAATTGAAACTACATGTACGACGATTTTACCCTGCTGAAATGGTTGTTGATTTTTTCTTAAAGCCGTACAAACATCGGGTAGCAGAATAAAGAAACAACAGAATATCGAAACGAAACCAAAACCGTGATGAGAATTCAAAATCGATAATATTTTGGGAAAATAAAAACGATGGAAAGTTTTACGTGGAGACCCTTGAAAATTCTTTTAATTCTTGTATACCAATCTTGTTTTATAGTATGAAAAAGTGGTGTTATTTCAAATATGTATGCAAAATTTCAGTCCAAAAAGAAAGTGGTTGAAAGTATTCATTTCCAACAACAAAGTACCCTGTATACCCAGAAAGGTGAGGGCCTAAGACACATCCCTAGCGTACACCAAAAACCAATGCACCTGATTACAGGTAATTGGTAATGAAATTGATTGCAAGCCTACAATACCTTTCAGTGCATGTTAGGTCACCAACAATTCCAAATTCCAATTTATTTCATCACTTGGCGTGATTGATAAAGGTTATGTTAACAATCAATTTTGAGATCAAATGTAATTTTTTTGTCACTTTTTAGAATTTGTTCTTACACATTGTTATAATTTTTTATTCATTTTATGATCGGACTTTCGTTTTCACATTGCTTTTAAGGGATATTTCATACTTATTTGTTCATATTCTTCTCATAATGAAGAGTAAATGTATTGGTAAAGGTCGCCATCGTATCTTCGCGAAATCTGGTAAAGGGACGCGAAATGAAAAACAATCCATAATATAAATGGTTTTTGGATATACTGACTAAAAGTGGCATATATTGCTCAAATGAAGAAGTGAGTATTTGTCCGAAGTGCTGCATAAGGTACTAGTATCTGCACAAAAGCAAATCTGAAACAGAACGTTTTGAAGATGAAACTACTAGATGTTTTCCTCTCATAACAATCAAGGACCTGTTTTACTGGTCCTGTTCACATAAAAACATCCATTCGAGCACACATTATACTCTTGCATCTTGCAGAACATTATCTTTAAAGGTCATCAGCTGTTAATACGGCGTCTAACTTTAATAGATATATAAAATATATTGATATTGCAAGAAAATTGTCTGGGAATCTGACAACTGATTAGGCAGTAGAAAGGATGTTTTGGTTGCCATCTTGAAAAGGAATAAACCAATGAATCTTTTCGAATCAGTTCTCTGTTGA